AAAAAAAAAAGGTCATCTCCACACGTTGTATGAAACCAAGATGCTAGTCTTACAAGAGAGGATTCAGATCTGTGAAAAAATTGGAGTCCATTGGGGGAGGGAAAAGGGAGAACTAAAATTTTCACAGGAGATTGGTTCTGCCAGGCAACATAATCAGCTCTGCTCCCCAGAACTTCCTGCAGGGACCTAGACCCCAGCCAAGTTATAAAGATAAGAGTGCAACAAACATAGATGGTGAAGTCTACATTTGCCTAGAACCAGCTTTCTATCTGATAGACCACACACAAACAAGAAGTCAAAGCACAAAACCAAAACATTTTACCAAGCTAGCTAAACGTGAAAAATCCAAAAGATGGTCATTAACAATAATAAATGGTAACAAGCATTTACTATAATCCTTTCAACAGGTCTTTGAAGTAGGTAATATCATTATTCCTATTTACAGAGGGGGGAACTAAGGCACAGGATAATTAAGTACTAAATGCTAGGGTTGGTATAGGACCCACAAGTCCATCTTTGCATGCCATATTCTTAACCACAGCACCTTATTACCCAAAACTGGGGGCAGAGAGACCAGCGAAATTCTAGGTAGGTTCTACAAACTCAGTGTCTTTATAATGAAGCCTAGGGGGTTCCCTACAGACTAAAGTGAACTGATATTCTCAGCCAGTAGTGACATGGTTTTAGTCCGGCCTCTTTGCACTTTTAAGACTCTTTTGGCAGTGTGTGTGTACGGATGGTGGGGATCCCTTACAAGAAAGGAGGCAGAATGGTGCGATGGTTTTTTGGAGCTGGAACATCCTGTGCCCGAACCTAGTTCTGTCACTCCTGGCAGCTTGAACTTGGGAAGTTACTTCTCTAAGCCTCAGTGTCCCCCTCTGTAAAGTGGAGAAAACTGCAGTTCTGACTTCATGAGTTCGTTTTGTAGGTTAAGTGAATTCACACACGACAAGCAGGAGCTATCTACACAACCACCATCATTGCTAGAAGATTAAATAATCCCATGGATAAAAGCTTTCTTTAGCCATATTCTGAGACTCTCTGCCCACCATAAACAAGCCACATACAAAAAGTGAACTACAGAAAACACAACAATGACACTCAGCACACAATGTGCCTTCCCATACGAACAACAGACCCTAATGAACTCTGTAGTTGACACTAAAAGGTATTCTTTACTTTAATAATTCTCTATTTTAAAAAGCTTTCATGGTTCTTAAAAGTGTTTAAAATTCACGAATCCATTTTAACGTCAATGTTTCTAATGAGGAATTTCTAAAACTCAGATCAATTTTTAAAAGGCTATAATCAATCAGTAACAGATTTGGAATGGAATTCCCTCACCTTCGGTCTCTGCACCCACCATCTGACAGTGTGCTGCATCATATGGGCATCTTGGAGAACGACTTCCCCTTTTTTTCAGATAAAATAATTAGATGCCTCTCAGGAGTAAAAAATAAATAAATCCTTGGGATCAAGTAACAGGGGCTAGCCTATTAAGTCCACCTTCTCTTATGAACTTGACCGAGGCAGCAAAACAAACTTCACCATAAGGAAAGCCGGACTAACTTTTATGATGTCTTTTCTTTTCATTTTCTAGTTCTGAATAGAATCTGAACTAGATTGTGGCCAACATATGACACCAACTTCCGAGTGAGGGAATAACAGGATTTCAAGATTCACCGGTTTCTGGCAGAGTTCCTTAGGTTATTTTTAGCAATCTTGGATTGCCTTTTTTTCTTTTTCTTTTTCCTTTCCTTCCTTTCGTTCTTTCTTCTCTTTTTAAAATGTTTTTTTCTCTTTTTTTTTTTGTTTAAAGGAACGAACAAGAGAGAGGAACCCAGGCCGAAAGGAAGTGAGTACCCTGACACGCGGATCCTAAACAGCCCAGACCACCCAACCCTACAAGCCGGGGACGCAGAGCGCGCGCCCCGCTGGAGTGGACACACACTTTGGGGGCCGTGCGGACGCGCGCTGGCACCCCAGAAGTTCCCATTTGCGTGCTCTGACGATCTAGCCAGACAAAGACCGCAAGTTCCCCAGTCCACGGTTCCAGACAGGCGGGGACCGAGTCTCCCCGAAGTAGGCCCACTCTCAGCCTGGGACGCCCCCGCTCGCCGCGGAGGGAGTCCCCAGGGTGCCCCTGCGCGATCGGGGTCCTCCCTCAACGCCCCACTCCTGCTGGAGCCCCACACCCCTGAGGCTGCGGCCGG